ATAAAGTCAGCAAACATTGCTTGAACGCTTCCCTTGATGCGATAAGTGTGTCGCATTGCCCAAGTTCGTGTGCAAAATGTTGCAAAACACGGCAGTTCAACTGCGAGAATGGTTACTTTTTAATGAAATATTCGAAAATAAGATAATTACAAATTATTAAACGACTAAACAACTAAATTGCAAATATTCGGGATCATTGAAAATAAATAAGTATTTTTGGCTCAAAAGTTTGCAAATAATTTTCTAAAAATATGGCGAATTTTTATACAGTGCGAAACACTTTGAAATATTTCAGCGATTCCGGCAAAATTTGAATTTATAAAATTATTTCAGAAAGTTTTACTTTATTCTTTTTGTCAGATTTTTTTAAACTGAGAATACTTATAAATGAGCCTGCAATATTGAATAGCGAAAAAAAGAGCATTAAATTTGAAAATTTCCATTTCAGATGCTACAGCTAATGCGATTTGTGCACAACTGGCTTTTCCAACTCATTGCAGAAATCCAACTTTATATCCAATTGTTCTTGCAAAATGCCCGAAGACTTGCGGTCTGTGCGACCAACCTGGAGCTCTTGGGCAATGTCCAGACACTAGCGAAATTTGTGGCACTGTGAGAGGTTTGCCCAATGCTTGTCAAAATCCAGCAATTGCTCAAGTATGCATGAAATCGTGCAATATAACAACGTGCTTACCAGGTAAATTCTGATAGATTAATTCTAATTCTAATTCTATTTTTTAAGACATTCACAAGGGAAAAACTTTTTTAAATCTATGGTTTTGATTCCGCTTCAGTAGGTTAATCTGATTGGCGGTGGAAATCATTATTTCTTCGAATAAAACTGTTTTGTTGGCGTAATTTGCTGAACCAAATTATTTTTTTAATTCCAATGATATTAGTAAAATAATAGTTACAGGTTCAACCTCTCCATGCGTGGATCGAAGAACCAACTGTTTGAGTTATGCACCTTTCTGCTATGATGGACGATATAGGGAATTTCTCAGCAGATATTGCCCCCGTACTTGCAATGCTTGTTAGTTTTGATATTCTAAGTAATTTCTCCTTTGAAATTTGTAAAATTCATAATTTGTAGTAAAATGTTACATTATTGTTTGAATTTTGGTAAATTTTGTCGAAGCGATTGGGTTCTTCTAGCGTTATTGGATGAAATAAATGTATCAAGAACATCACAATGGAAAGAAAACCACAAAAAAATAAAATTTTCAAAATTTTTTAAATCCAATGATATTAGTAGCATAAAGCAATAGTTACAGGTTCAACCGCAACTTCCTCTTCAATTACATGCGTGGACCGAAGAACGAACTGTTTGACATATGCACCGTTCTGCTATAATGAACGATATAGGGAAGTTCTCAGCAGATATTGTCCCCGTACTTGCAATGCTTGTTAAAAATGGAGCATAAACTGAATTATTCTATAAATCATTCGTGGATCGAAGAACCAACTGTTTGAGTTATGCACCTTTCTGCTATGATGGACGATATAGGGAATTTCTCAGCAGATATTGCCCCCGTACTTGCAATGCTTGTTAAAAATGGAGCATAAACTGAATTATTCTATAAATCATTTTAGATATTTTCTGGGTATTTTTCTTTGGCAGTTTTTTATAATGCATAACTTACTTGTACCTTTTAATGTTCGAATGGTTCACCATTGGTTCTTATTTTGGTTTATTTTAAATTTTTAAAGCGATCGAGTTTTTCGAACAACGAAACAAATGAAACAAATAAATGCATTGAAAATTATGTTTTATCGTAAAGGAAGAAATACCATAAAAAAATAAGAAAATTGTTAAATTATTCTCCACACGAATGAATTTTAACATTGGTTATGGTAAAATTGTTTGCACAGTAACGTTGGAAAGATAAGTTAAGTAAACAGAATATTATAGAAACCGACGACAGTTTGACTCGAAAATGAAACGATAAAATTGCAAATCCTACACATTCAACGTGATTTTCACGTTTCATTCCCTTCTACGCTGACTTTTCGAAGCCTTTCCATGCACTACGTAATGCGTTCTTCTTTCCACCTTCTAAGTCCTTTCTACGCTGGTTCAAATTAGCTTAATTGTTTCGTGCCTTACGTAAGCATATTTTATCATCAAAAAGCATTTAGAAGACTGGTATTTCGCTAATAAAGATGGAGCCACGAAGGGCCATTAGCGACTCGCTATTCTTAAATATCTAAAAGATGACTGTTTTTAATCAAAATGATAGATTTTATTATTAAAATCTACGGATAACTTTTTTAAATTGAATATGAAAATGTCTTTCCTTATTTGCCTTCCTTTTCTAAGCGGTAAAAGTTTTGTTCAATGCGAAAAGTAGGAAATCCATGAAATAGTTGAAAAGCCTTTTTCATAACAAATTTCAGATCGATTATTAAAGCATTCCATTACACAATTTCAATGCAATATTTTGTTGGAAAAAATTTCGATACAATTTGTTCAGATTGTTTTTTTTTTAATGAATTATTCTGAAAAAAATAAGTATTTCCCTGTGATTATTTCCTTGTGAGCCGTGGTGATAAATAGTTGCTAAATTGTATAAATCGCTCGCTTACAAAGTTTTATCTTTTTCATTTCTGGAAAATTTATACTTAAATTTAGTTAATTATATCTAAATTTCGAGAAAAAATTTTCAATTCAATAGTATATACGTTTTAATTTTGAAAAAAATGGCAATGAACAGAAATATAAAGCAAAATGATGATTTAATTTAATCAGCTTTTTAGGCGGTTTTTCTTGAAGAAATTCTGGAAATATTTTTCTTTCTTTATTTTATATAACTAACCAGTGTGCTTGACATGTATTTGAAGGATGGGAAGAGTTCATGAGAGCTTCTGGGGAGACAAGATTCTAGATATACGTAATATATAAACCTTTTCCCCATACGAATAGCTATAGGTCGTTTTCAACATCGGATCTTCTACTATAGCGCCGCAAACTTGAGAGTTGAGAGTTCGTTCTGCACATCTTATCAAAAAGTCTTATCAAAAAGATACACATATGATCCATGTAAAACTGCTATATCTAAATGATAAAAATTTCAAACGAAGGAACATTTTATTAATTTTATTCAAAATCTTCATTATATTTAGATATTCTTCAGTTAAAACGCTTTTTGAGGATATTTTCGACTATAGCGCATGAGATATAGGTGTAAACCGCTAATAGAGGAAACTCATATAGCAATAATCGGTGAAGGAAATTTCAATACGGTAATTTGTTCAGCTTTTAGAATAAATTCAGCTGAAAATCTACGATTTGTTTCATATTCACAAACAAATAATTCGACTATTTTTTTGCATAGAAATATTCTATGAAGTAAATAAGTAAAATAAGATTTTTTTAAAATTTGATAAATTTAATTAGTTCGCTAAGAATTTTCATTCCATCAATTCCTTATCAATCTTCCTCTCCTATTGATTGTTGATAACATGTGATAATGCCTAGTCTGAATTTCGAGGTTATTGAACTAAGCACAGCGGGTACGAGGATCTCCATCCAACACTTCACAAATAGCACATGTGATATGAATGATATCTTCATGCGTCCATCATATATATGAAGTGCACTGTTTTCGATCTTAATGAATTTTTAGAATGAAAAATGAATGATGTAAAAATCATTAAAACTATAAAACAGTGATATTCGAGAAATCAGTTTTGACGTCTTCAGGAAAATTTTTTGCTTCCCTTCTACTGAATACATTTATGATAATAAAAGATATTTATAATAAAGCAGCACGCGCCTTAACTAAACTGGCGATTGGCAGCAATGGTGACCAAATATTCACATTAAGAAAAATTGTGGAATAGCAGAATGAATTTGAATTCTTATGGAAATTCCCCCTATATTAAATTCCCCCTTTATTGGTAAGGATTTTCAAATTTATTTATTTATTTATTTATTTATTTATTAATTCATTTATTTATTTATTATTTATAAATTATTAATTGTAAAATGATGAAACAAAAGGTTAATTTTGAACACCATTTTAGAAAATTTTCTTTTTATCGTGAAATTCGAGAAATATGCAGTGAAATGGAGAATTTTCCATTTGTAACTATCAAACAAATACCTTCTGAATTTTTGCACGTTGAAAAAAATTGCATGAAGTGGATTTTCAAATTTATAAATCGTTAATTGTTTCATAGCTTCGTAGATTCGTTTTATATGTTTCATTCATAATGCAAATTATTTTAGCAAAACGAATCGCTTATAATAATTTCATTTATTTGCTAAAAATTTACTTATTAAGACGAATAATCTGAAAACATTCCTTTATAAATGAGATATACGATATGCAATGACAAATAGTGGCCAAGTTTTGCGATTCATCTACAAAAACTTATAAAATACTTTTTGGTTTATGGAAAATTTTATTATTTTTTCCATAATTTCGATGTTTAAATTTTAAGGAAAATTTTCATAATTCATTAGTACTTCATTATTATTATTTTAAAAAAAGTGGTAAAAATATTTTTGAATATATTTTTGTTAATACATTCAATTAATTATGTAATTATATTAATAGATAATATATTGAAAATATTTCATTTTTGAAAAAAATGAAAAATAATCAATAATAAAATAACTGAACTGAATAGAAACGAATGAAATAAAAATATGATTTAAATTTGATCACTTTTTAAGAGGGATTTTTTTTCTTCCACATATATTTAGAAAGAAGATATTTTTTCCATTTATGAGCATATCTTTCTAAAATTCACTTTAAAAAAATATATGGAACCCGAACGAGGAAAGGTTCATCTGCATTTCCTAATTGATTGTTAGAAGAAACAATCTCGTACAGCTGTTTTATTGTTATAGATACTGCTGTTGCATAAGCTTTTCACCATCGACATACGATTCGTCAATATTTATGGTGGCAAATTTTTGGAAATTTTTGGCCGATATATCTATAAATATATTTAAGTGAAAGAGATAATAAAGATATAGCAATGATTAATCGCACTGCTTATCAAAAAATAATACATAAAAAAATAAAAAGAAAAAAAAAATGGGACAGAAATTTATGCTCATAGAAATTTTTGTAGAAGATTTTATTTAATTTCATCGAAAAATTTTCCACAAATTGATTTTAGCGAAATGTCGCTTAAAAGCTGAATAAATTTTTATCATTGCTGACACTCAAGTAATTTTTCCGCATAAAAAGAGGCAATGGGTGATTATTCGCCAATATTGCGAATGCTTTACCTCTTTATCATTTTCTTTTGTTCTTTCGGAAGCAATTATGCAGCTGATAAGGAAATAGTGGAATGTTCTGTACAACTTAACGGTAAACAGCGTCCGTCGGTGCCACCCGAATATTGCCATGATTTGGATTCCACTGCATGCAACAATTTATTTCCAAAAGTCGATCAGAATATACATAGTGACAATGCAGACGTGTATGTATAATTTTTAATTTAAAAAATTTTGCATCGGATAATCATTACGTACAACTATCATTATTACATATAATTTAACAACAAATTATTGACAATTTATTAATAATTAAATAATTAATAATTTAATTAATTTTTGAAATAATCAATAAATTAATTTACATGTGAAAATTATACTTTTGAATTATATCATCATAATTATGTTAATTATCATAATTGTGAAAATGTTAATTATCATAATTATCATACTTTTATCAATCTCGCATAGTAATTTTTTTAGTAACCATTTTAGCACGAAGGATTACAAAGTCAGCGAACACTGTTTGAACGCTTCACTCGCTGCGATAAGTGTGTCGCATTGCCCAAGTTCGTGTGCAAAATGTTGCAAAACGCGGCAGTTCAACTGCGAGAATGGTTATTTTTTAGTAAAATTTTCGAAAATAAGGATTAGAAACTAAAAAATGAAATAAAATGCAAATAATCGGGATGAACACTTTTACGCAGAAATTTTCAGTGCGAAAGCTAATTATTTTTGAAAGTAAAACAATTGCTTTTTCAACTTAAAACTTAAATTAATTAATTATTAAGAATTAAGAATTAATTCTTTAAATGTACCAAATTTTTCTAAAGTGTGAAAAAATTTTAATTTATGAAATTTATTTGTCGGATTTTTTATACACTGGAAAAATTTAATATCTATTTTTTATTTATAAATTATTTATTTATAAATATTTATAAATGCATATAAACTCTAATAATACTCATAGAACTGAAAAGCAAAAAAAAGGGTTTTGCAGGGCTAAGGGTTCCAAAATTTGCATTTCAGATGTTGCAGCCAATGCGATTTGTATGCAACTGGCTTTTGCAATTCACTGTAGAAATCCAACTTTATACCCAATTGTTCTTGCAAAATGCCCGAAGACTTGTGGTCTGTGCGATCAACCTGGAGCTCTTGGACAATGCCCAGACACTAGCGAAATTTGTGCCACTGTGAGAGGTTTGCCGAATGTTTGCCAAAATCCAGCAATTGCTCAAGCATGCATGAAATCGTGTAATATAACAACGTGCTTACCAGGTAAATTCTTTCCAGAAAAATTTTGATTAAATAGTATTAAAAATACCATTTAATTTTTACCAGGGAATCAGTAGGGGATGGAGGAATGCTGCTAATACTACTTAGTTTCTATGGTTTTACTTTAGCTCCTGCAATTCAACCTGATTCTCGGCAAGAATCCTCACAATTTCTTAAAATAAGAATGTTTTGTTGGCCTTGTTGGCGAAATCTCTTCATTGAAACAAAATATTTTTTAAATTCAGTGATATTAAGATCATAATGTAAAACTACAGGTTCTGCTGCAACTACCCCCTCTCTATGCGTGGATCGAAGAACCAATTGCATGAGTTATGCACCTTTCTGCTACAATGAACGATATAGGGAAGTTCTCAGCAGATATTGTCCCCGTACTTGCAATGCTTGTTAGCAATAGAACATGAAAAGAATTACAAATCTTTTTGCACATTCTGGATATTTTTTCTTTGGCAACCTTGTGTGATGCATGATTAATGATTAATTGTAATTTTGAATATTTAAATGTTTCACTATTATATTAATTTTGGTGAATTTTTATTTTATGAAAGCGGTTGGATTTTTCTAACGTTATTGAATGAAATAAATGCATTGAAAATGTGCTATCACAAAGGAAAGAACATCACAAAAAAAATTGTAAATTTTTCTCCACGAACGACGAATTTTTACATTGGTTATGGTAAATTATTTGCTCAGTGATATCGGAAAGATGAGTTAAGTAAACAGAATTTTATGAAAAATGTTATTCGGAAATAAAATGATAGAACTGTAGATCCATTTCAAGTGCAAATTCAGATTTGATTCGCCTTTTTAGTGGCAAAAGTTATTTATAAAAGAAAACTGGTAAGATGTGGTCGACAAATATGGCGCTCAATCATGAGGATAGGAAAGTCGACGTTCTTGGATATCTGAAAGGCCGTTCGGTAAGATTGAATATCACATTTCATTGTAAAAATAGATGTGCGAGATCTTTGTGAATAAATTGAATATTAAATTATTCATCCTTAACGCCAAACTTATGCGGTAATCAAGTATTAATTAAAGATGGGTTCAAGCATGCAAGAAACCTTCTGCAATACAACAAAATCTTGCGAGATAAATTCTTGCCAAAAGAATTTTCAATAAATTTGTGTGGTACTGTCGCAAATCGGTTGAAATTAAAAGAGAAGGATTCTTCTAATAGCTCTCACCATTACTGGTTAGGCTGGCTCTATCGGCTAACAGGGTAAGACGCGGTCTGATGATGTCGTCGACAGTAATAGAAGCCATTCCTTTTTCCATCGTCTAAGTCCATATTTTGCTCGTCCACCTATACTTTCAAAATCTTTCCTGACCGTATCAGTACAGATGTTGATTGGTCCACCGCGCTTTTGACGCCAACCATCAACATATAAATATTTTAGTATTATTTGATTACAAAACGATAAATAATTTAATCTGGATAAAATCTGTTTTAAATATTGCTGCAAAGGCTTCACGCCAGTGACAGTACGACTTTTCAATTTCTCTTTCTCGTTTGGCATTATATTAATAAAAATTCACCTCATCAAACAAATAACGCAAAAAAAAGAATAAAAAAGGACAAAAGAAAAGAGAAAGGAAGGGAGGGAATAAATCGCTAATAACTGAAAAAAATAGGGCAGAAATTTGTTTTTCTCTCGCGAATTTGTCTTGACGATCGATTCATAGATTCATGAGTTTTTCTACAGTGTGAAATAATACGAAATATAAAATACTTATATTTTAGCGAAATATCGCACAAAAGCTGAATAAATTTCTGTCGCTGCCAACGCCAACGTCGCTTTTACGCATAAAAATATGCAATGAAGCGATCATTTCTCATTGCTGGGAATGTTTCTCTACTTTTTCTTCTTTTTTTCCTTATTCGAGGGCAAATGTGCTGATGACGAAATAATAGTGGAATGTTCGATCCAAGTTGGCGAAGCAATACGCCCGTCAATCCCACCAGAATATTGCCATGATTTAGATCCCACTGCATGCACCAATTTATTTCCGAAGGTCGATGAAGATACATACATAAACAACGCAGATGTGTATGTGCAATTAACAATTTAAAGAATTCCCAATTTTATCCGATATAATTATAGAATGCAAAATTAAATAAATTCAACTTATGAAAAGTTTACTTTTATTAATTTGCATAATTTATTTTGTCCTTCCATAACCAATTTAGCGAGCAAAACTATAAAGTCAGCGAACACTGCTTGAACCCTTCCTTCGCTACGGTTACTGTGTCGCATTGCCCAAGTTCGTGTGCAAAATGTTGTAAGACGCGGCAGTTCAACTGCGAAAACGGTTATTTTTTAATGAAATAATGAAAATAAGGTAATTACAAATTAATAAACGAATAGAAACAAATAAATTGCAAATATACAATAAGATCACTAAAAAATTTCCAATGCAAAAGCTAATTACTTATGAAACTTAAATAAGTATTTTAAATGAGTACTTTTTTGGTTCGAATGTTTGGAATTAATTTTTCAAATATGGCAAATTTTTCTATAATTCGAAACGATTTGAAATACTTCAGTGAATTCGGTAAAATTTCAGTTTATTGAAATAATTTCAGAAATTTTTATTTTATTTGTCAGATTTTTTTAAAATGAAGAATACTTATAAACGAGCCCGCAATATTGAATAGCGAAAAAAAGAGAATTAAAAATGAAAATTTGCATTTCAGATGTTACAGCTAATGCGATTTGTGCACAACTGGCTTTTCCAACTCACTGCAGAAATCCAACTTTACACCCAATTGTTCTTGCAAAATGCCCAAAGACTTGCGGTCTGTGCGATCAACCTGGAGCTCTTGGGCAATGTCCAGACACTAGCGAAATTTGTGGTGCCGTGGGAGGCTTGCCGAATGTTTGTCAAAATCCAGCAATTGCTCAAGCATGCATGAAATCGTGCAATATAACAACGTGTTTACCAGGTATGTCCTTCCCCTAATTAATAGTTCGAATTTCCATTACATTCTCCAACAGCGAAAGAGCTGAGGATATTAAAGAGGCGCTACCACGCACTTTATTCCAATCAACCTGATTGGCGGTGAGAATCACCATAATTTCTTAAAATGTTTTGTTGACGAAATCTATTGATTGAACCAAATTATTTTTTTAAATTGAAATGATATTAATAGCATAAAGTAATAGTTACAGATTCAATCGCAACTACAACTCCCTCTCCACTTTCATGCGTGGACCGAAGAACCAATTGTTTGAGTTATGCACCTTTCTGCTATAATCCACGATATAGGGACGCTCTCAGTAGCTATTGCTCCCGTACTTGTAATGCTTGTTAAAAATGGAGCACGAATCATTTATAAATCGTTTTGGATATTCTGGGTATTTTTTCTTTTGCAATTTTATATAATACATAATTTACTTGTAATATTTGAATATTTGAATGTCTCATTATTGTTTCAATTTTAGCGAATTCTATGAAATATTTAATATTTTACTAAAGTGTTCTTCTAGTGTTATTGGATGAAATAAATGCATCAACAATATGTTTAATCATAAAGGAAGGAAAACCACAAAGCAAAAAAAAGCGCAAAATTATCTCCAAGAAGGAATTTTGGCATAGATTATGGCAAATTATTTGCACATTGACACTGGAAAGATGGGATAAATAAACAGAATTTTATGAAACTATTGACAATGTGGAAACCGTCGAAAATAAAATGATAAAATCATAAATCCATTTCAAATTGATCCATTAGACTGATAACATATCAGTTAATTGTATTAACATTTCATTCATACAATACGCAATATTTATTCAAAACAATGAACTGCGAAGGAGTGTAAAATATTAAAAATAATTTTGGGCGTTAGTTGAATAATTTTGACAAGTCAAACGCAGAAATGAATATTTCGATGGAAAAAATTTAATTTCAAAGTGGCAATTTATTTGGATTTCGAGCAAATTTCGCTATGAAATTTGTGAATTGAAATAATGTAAAATTTCGCGACTTTTTTTGATAAGCAAACAATTTCAGACAATTCATTTTGGAAAGTGAAATAGTTTAAACACTTGTGAAGAAACAAATGAAACAAATTTTATAAATTTTAAAATTCATTAGATTCTTAATTTCCTTAAATATTCAATACTTTCTTTACATTCTATTTGAATGGATGCATCAGTAAATCAGTGGCAAGATAAATGATAATTGATAACCAAGTTTAAATCCGCTGCAGCAGTACTTTTAGTTGGGCGATACTACTAAAAATTTTTTCGAAGAAATGGCAATGGATAGAATCATATCAAACAAAATGATAAAACAAAAGATTAATTTTGAACACTATTTTAGAGAATTTTCTTTTTTTCGTGAAATTCGAGAAATATGCAGTGAAATGGAGAATTTTCCATTTGTAAATATCAAACAAATACCTTCTGAATTTTTGCACGTTGAAAAAAATTGCATGAAGTCTAAGCGGTGACAAAACTTATGATAGGTCGTTATTCAACTACATTTCATGATTGGCCTTCTAGTTAAACAGCCAATGTTCAATTGCCATGAACATTTCAATATTTTTTGCGAGAAGCTTATTTTATTGCAAAACTATAAATGGTTTAATGTGTATAAAACCTATTAAATATTGCTGCAAAAGCTTTATGCCAGTGACAGTACGGCTCTTCGCTTTTTATTGTGTCGAAGCTTTCGCAATGAAATGCTTCGGTGGCAGAAATAATAAAACTTTGCAATTAATAAAAATTAGCACAACAACAAACCTCATCAAAAAATAATGCAAAAAAGAGTAAAAGGAAATAAAAGGAAGGGAAAAGGGAAGGAAATCGCTAACGATTGGAAAAGTTGGTCAAAAATTCGTGAATTTGCCCTCGCGAATTTGTTCTGCCGAGGTGATAGATTCACTGGTAAATTTTTTTTATAGAACAAAACAATTTCAAACGAAATATTTATTTCAGCGAAATTTAAAAGCTGAAAAAATCTTTGCCACTGCACAACTCCCAAATTTTAATGCATAAAAAGATGCTATGGGCGATTACTCTTTAGTTTTTGTTTCTCTGCTTTCGCCTTTTCGCCTTTTTTTACTTATTCGTGGGCAATAATGCTGGCGACCAGATAATAGTGGAATGTTCTACCACCAGAGAATTGCCACGATTTGGATTCCACTGCATGCAACAGTTTATTTCCGAAGGTCGGTCAGAATACACACAGTGAAAATGCAGATAAGTATGTACAATTATTAATTTTTATAATTAATATAATTTTAAAATTTCTTATTTTGTCTGAAAGAATTATTATATGCAATAATTTACTAATAAATGCTTAATAATTTAATAATATAAAAATCATACAAATCATATTTTTATTATTTTCGAATAGTAATGCAATTTTTTAAGAACCGTTTTAGCACGAAAGATTACAAAGTCAGCGAACACTGCTTGAACCCTTCCTTCGCTACGATTACTGTATCGCATTGCCCAAGTTCGTGTGCAAAATGCTGCAAAACGCGGCAGTTCAACTGCGAGAATGGTTGTTTTTAAGTAAAATTTCCGAAAATAAAGTGATTAGAAAATAGAAACGAATAAATTGCAAATGTTCGGAAAGATCACTTTTCACGCAGAAATTTCCAGTGCGAAAAATAATTATTTTTAAAAGTAATATTATTTATAAATTATATTTAATTATATTAAGTAAATTTATGTTTTTTTGACTTAAAAGTTTGGAATTAATTTTTCAAATATGGCAAATTTTTCTATAATTCGAAACGATTTGAAATACTTCAGTGAATTCGGTAAAATTTCAGTTTATTGAAATAATTTCAGAAATTTTTATTTTATTTGTCAGATTTTTTTAAAATGAAGAATACTTATAAATGAGCCCGCAATATTGAATAGCGAAAAAAAGAGTATTAAATTTGAAAATTTGCATTTCAGATGTTGCAGCTAATGCGATTTGTGCACAACTGGCTTTTCCAACTCATTGCAGAAATCCAACTTTACACCCAATTGTTCTTGCAAAATGCCCAAAGAGTTGCGGTTTGTGCGATCAACCTGGAGCTCTTGGACAATGCCCAGACACTAGCGAAATTTGTGGTGCCGTGGGAGGCTTGCCGAATGTTTGTCAAAATCCAGCAATTGCTCAAGCATGCATGAAATCGTGCAATATAACAACGTGTTTACCAGGTATATCCTTCCCTAATTAATAGTTCGAATTTCCATTACACTCTCCAATAGCGAAAGAGCTGAGGATATTAAAGAGGCGCTACCACGCACTTTATTCCAATCAACCTGATTGGCGGTGAGAATCACCATAATTTCTTAAAATGTTTTGTTGACGAAATCTATTGATTGAACCAAATTATTTTTTTAAATTGAAATGATATTAATAGCATAAAGTAATAGTTACAGATTCAGTTGCAACTGCAACTCCCTCTCCACTCTTATGCGTGGACCGAAGAACCAATTGTTTGAGTTATGCACCTTATGCACCTTTCTGCTACAATCCACGATATAGGGACGCTCTCAGAAGCTATTGCTTCCGTACTTGTAATGCTTGTTAGTTTAGATATTCTGGGTATTTTTTCCTTGGCAAAATTGTATAATTCATAATTTGAATATTCAAAAATTCAAATAATTCATTATTGTTTGAATTTTGGCGAATTTTTAATAATTTTATCAAAGCGATTGGGTTCTTCTAGCGTTATTGGATGAAATAAATAAATCGAAAATATGTTTTATCATAAAACACCAAAAAAAATGAAAATTTAAATTTTTCTCCACGAACGCTGATATGGTAAATTATTTGTACGGTGACAATGGAAAGATAAATAAAGAGAATTTTATGAAAAGTATTAATAATGTGAAAACCGTCGGAAATAAAATGATAAAATCATAAATCCATTTCAAAACAATTGATCGATCAGGCTGATAACATATCAGTTAATTATACTAACGTTTCATTCATACAATACGCAATATTTATTCAAAACAATGAACTGCGAAGTAGTGTAAAATATTAAAAATTTTTATTTTGTACGTTAGTTGAATAATTTTGACGAATTAGAATTTATTTATTTATGTTGCAATTTATTCGAATTTTGAGCAAATTTCGCTATGAAGTTTGTGAAATGAAATAATGTGAAATTTTGCGAATTTTTTTTGATAAGCGAACAGTTTCAGTACATTTCACAGATTGGAAGTGAATTATAAATATTTATAGCCTTTATGAAGCGAAAAATTTTTAATAGTTTATAATTTTGAAACTTTTTGCATCTTTCATTCCTTTAAATATTCTAATTTTTTATTCCAACTTTAATTGACCGACTTCTTCACACCTTCGGCTTTCGTGTAATATTCTACGCGAATGGGTGCACCGGTGACTCAGTGGTTAGTTAATGAATAATCAGGTTTGAACTCGCTGCCTTTTAGGTGCACTGCTATAATTCCTTTCCGAAAAAATGAATGAATGGAGGCAAATGGAAAAGGACAAATAAACTTGATCATCATTTTAGAGAATTTTCTCGGGAAATATTCGGTAAATGCGGTATGCGGTAAATTGGAGATTTTTCCATTTGTAAGCATTAAAATAATATCCTTCTGGATTTAGTGAAAAAAATTTGAGGTGCCCACGCACAGCAGTGACAAAATGTTGCGAAAATAAGAATAAAGAATCTGATCTTTAAAGTTCTTTCTTCTGCACAACTGCATTTAAAGTTGCTTAGTATGGGACTTAACTTATCTTAGAACCCCTCTTAAGACCATTACATCTTGATCCCTAATGGTATATCTGGATGATAGGACGTTCCTCAGGAGTGGGTTCTTCTTTTTCTCTTGCAATTTCGAGAGGGTAAGGAAGCAAGACTGGCCTAATTAATTCTTTACCATTGGCTACTTTAATTTTTGCAGATCATATGGGAGCTGAGTTTTTTCTCTGAGATTCATCATTTATTTCTAGCCGATTCTAGCCAACTGCCAGATCCCTTTACCTCTGTTTCCCTCACATAGTAAAACGGCCTCATTTACTTTTGGGCTTATTTTCATATTCAAATGAATTGCGATGCTGACGACTAGCCTTTTCTCGAAGCAAGCTGATATAATCTTGCCGTCACTTCCCAAATTCTTTGGAATAATTTTTCAGATTCTTTCCACGTTTTTAAGAGCGCATCTCTATTACAACTTTCCAGTCTACCATACTCTTCATCCTTATCCAGCAGTAGCTGATTCTTTACATTCCTGGACAAATCAAATTAAGGGATAATTTCTTCCGTATCATATGTTAATGGTCTCAAGTTAATAATTTTTCCACTTCCACTAATAGCGTTCATCATCATAGCGCAGTTTTTCTGTCAATTTTTACCAATTTTTACCAATTTTCACTTGTCCGTTTTCGTTATACCAACTAAATAAATTGGGTCTGCGATTCCAATAGTTTCTAAAGACCAGAACTACGACAGATTTTGTCAGCGCCGTGAAGGTTTTTAGGAAATGTTCTTTATGTCCTTGTGACACCTGATTATACGTTTCTCTAGTAAATATATTACTTATTTTTAAGTGAATTACGTGAACTCCAGAATGTAATCTTTCTTATTTACGCTTGATAAGAGTGAAATAATAATCTGAGCCTACCAATATACCGGGTTTTACCATTATTACATTTTGCTTATAGGCATGCCAACTATTTTTGTCACTGGTTCTTGTCATTCTACTTAATAATAGCATCTCTTCCTCTTCACCGGATTTCAGTATATTCCTTAGTTCGCTTATATCCAATATTTTCTTTTTTCTTCTAGCTCTCTTTTTAACACATGTGCTGGCAATTTTTGCGTTTAATTTTTTGTAGATTCAATAATCTTAATTCTTCAATAATACTAGTCACCATATGCCTTCCAAAATATTCCACACATTCCTATATGATTCACGATCCATGGAGAATATTCCATAGAGAATGGAGAATATTTTGGAAGACATATGGTGACTTCCATCAATTTCTTCGCTTTTTCTTCGAGGCAAGATATGAGATATCTAAGTTTATCCGCGGAGACTCCTATTTCCAATGATGGATAGAAAGTTATCCTTGAATGTAACCCAGCTTCTTCTTGAACCATCGAATTCCATTAATTGTAATATCGGCAGTTTCATTATTAGCTGAATTTTCAGCAATTCTTCTTCGGCATTCTCCATCTTTTGACCTTATGGACTGCGACCTTATTATCATTTAAATTTCTATTGCAACATCTAATTGTGACGTCCAAATAAAATTTGTTTAACGTCAAATAAATTTTGATATACTTAATTTAACTTAATTTGTTTGATAAACTTCCACCGCCAAACGAATTTTATTTACCCGAGGCAGAATAAGAATGCTAGGAGAAAGATGATAATATGCAGAAAAACTCGCCGCCTTCATTACGCTCAACTCATTCGCTGTTAAGGGATTCAGTGGAAATCAATTAATTGAAAATCCTTTATGCATGAATTATGTGCAAGGCAAGCTTGTTGCTATATTGCAGATTTTCATGGACGCTTGTGCAATTGCTGAATTTTGGCAAATATTCGGGCATCTCTTCTCATCTCATAAATATCTCACAGTGGCACAAATTTCATTAGTATTAGCCAAGAGCTCCTTGGTGATCGTACGGACCACAAATCTTTGGGTATTTCGCGATTCCGATTTGTGCATAACCGATTTACCACAACCAATGTCAAAATTCGTCCTTCATGAAGATTATTTTGCACTTTTTTATTGCACTTTATTTGCGGTCTTCTTTCTTCGTTTGAGGTGCATTGCATATTTTCGATGCATTTGTTTCATCCAATAGTGTCCAACATTTTCTGGTCGCCAGCATTATTCTCGCTGAATAAGCAAAAGAATGGGAGAAAGTAGAGAAAAGAGAAACATTTCCAAAGATAACGAGTAATCGCCCATAGTATCTTTTTACGCATTAAAATTACGGGAACGCTGATAAAGATTTATTCAGCTTTTAAATTTTACTGAAATAATTATTTCAAACCGTTGAAAAATTTATCAGTGAATCAATCGCCTCACAAAAACGAACCCACCAGGGCAAGGCGAATTTTTGCCCAACTTTTCCAATCGTTAGCCATTTCCTTCTCTTTCTCTTTCCTTTTATTTCCTTTTACTCATTTCTGCATTTTTTATTGACGAAATTCGTTGTTTTTTTTCCTTCTTTAATTTTCATTAATACAATGCTAAATTTTTATTATTTTTACCAACGAAACTTTTCGTTGCGAAAATTTTGTCGCTAAATTAAATGAAAAGTCGTACTGGCACTGGCGGAAAACTTTTGCAGCAACAAGTAAGCATTTGAATGGTGAATCATTCGAATATATTTACAAAGTTACAAGTAAATCATGCATTGCCAAGAGAAAATTGCCAAAGAAAAAATATCCAAAATGATTTGTAATTCTTTTCATCTTCTGTTGCTAACAAGCATTACAAGTACGGGGCAATATCCGCTGAGAACTTCCCTATATCGTTCATTGTAGCAGAAAGGTGTATAACTCTAACAAATGGTTCTTCGGTTCATATAACTGGAGAGGGACTTTTAGTTGCAATTGAACCTGTATCTATTGCATTTTGCATTACTAATATCATTGAATTTGAAAAATAATTTGGTTCAGTGAACAAATTTCGCAACAAGGCCAACAAACATTCTTATTTTGAGAAATTAAAGCTATTCTCAGCACCAATCAGGTTGAATTGCTGGAGATTGGACCAAAACCTGAGGAACTGGACAATAATATCATCAATAGCATTCCTCTATCTTCAACTGATTTGCTGGTAAAAATTGAATGGCATTTTAAAAAAAATATTCAATCAGAAGTTTTTTAGAAGCAAGAAATTCCCATACTGTTATATTGCATGATATGATTTCGTTTTACTCTTCCAATTGCTGGATTTTGACAAGCATTTGGCAAACTCCCTCATAATGACACAAATTTCGCTGGTATTTGCGCAATTCCCAAGAGCTCCAGGTTGATCGTGCAGACCACAAATCTTTGGGTATTTTGCAAAAAGAATTCGATATAAAATTGGATTTCTACGGTGAATGGATTGTAAAAATCAGTTTGTAAAAAATCAGATCGGATCAAATTGTAAAAAAACACATAAATCGGATCAATTGCAATATCCAAAATACAATTTTTGAAAATACAATCATTTTGGGGAATTGCACATTTATACAATAATAAATATACAATTATTTTGATAATTTTTATTCAATTTAAGTTTAAAAATCTGGCGAATTCCATAAAATTTTCTGGAATGATTTCATAAACTGAAATTTCAATAAAATACTAATTGCCAATTATTTTAGAATCAAAAAAGTAGTTATATAATTTTTAAAAGATCTTTTAAAGGATTTCCTTCACTTTTCCATATTGGTAAATTTCTGCGCAAAATTTTTCAATGATTTTCTCGAATATTTGCAATTTTTTCGTTTCTATTCATTTCTTTGTTTGTAGTTGCTTTATTCTCTGAAAATTTATATTTATTTAAATTTATAAATTTATATTAAAAACTCGAATTTATGTATTAAAATTTATAAAATTTATATAATAATTCGGATAAAATTGGAAATTCTTTAAATTAATAATTGCACATACACGTCCATTCCGCATTGTTTATGTGTGCATGTTCATCGACTTTCTTTGGCGAATTGCACGTAACTTTGAATAATCAAATGCTTCGTTATTAATTTTTATTAATTTTAGCGAATTTTTAGTGTTTTTTATTAAAGCGATTGGGTTTTTCTACCGTTTTTAGGTAAAATAAATGCATTAAAAATATGTTTTATCAATTTTTCGTAATGGAAGGAAAACCACAAAAAAAATAAAAATAATGAGATAATAAGAAATAAAAATAAAATAATAAGAAATAATAAGAATTGAAAATAAAATATAAATATAAAATAAAAATTTCTCTACACGAATGGATTTTAAGATTGGTTATGGTAAATCATTTGCATCGGAAAGATGAGTTAAATTAAATAAACAGAGCAGAATTTTATGAAAACTGTTGACAATGTGACTCGAAATTTAAATGATAGATCCATTTCAAGTTCCATTACAAATTCGGATGGGTTTTAAAAGTGAAAGCTAAACATATAAGTACAATGGTATAATCGCTATAATAAAGGACGATGTATAGAACGATGAATGTAGCGTAGCTTAGCAAAATAGGTTTCGCACGTGAAATATTTTTTGAACACTGAATTTGTAGGTAAATACTTTGACGAAGGACGATTTACATAGATTATTGTTTATCATTTTATTGTAAATTATTTGCACAATGACATTGGAAAGATGTGTTAAATAAACAGAATTTTATAAAACCATTCACAATGTGAAAACCGTCGGAAATAAAATGACAAAAATCCATTTCAAAACGATCGATCGATCGGATTGATAACATATCAGTTGATTATACTAACGTTTCATTCATACAAAACGCAATATTTATTCAAAACAATGAAACAATGAATTGCGAAGGAGTGTAAAATACTAAAAATTTTTATTTTTGAGCATTAGTTGAATGAAAATTTTGACAAATCTAAATTTATTTATTTTGTGGCAATTTATTCGGATTTCGAGCAAATTTCGCTATGAAGTTTGTGAAATGAAATAATGTGAAATTTTGCGAATTTTTTTTGATAAGCGAACAGTTTCAGTACATTTCACAGATTGGAAGTGAATTATAAATATTTATAGCCTTTATGAAGCGAAAAATTTTTAATAGTTTATAATTTTGAAACTTTTTGCATCTTTCATTCCTTTAAATATTCTAATTTTTTATTCCAACTTTAATTGACCGACTTCTTCACACCTTCGGCTTTCGTGTAATATTCTATGCGAATGGGTGCACCGGTGACTCAGTGGTTAGATAATGAATAATCAGGTTTGAACTCGCTGCCTTTTAGGCGCACTGCTATAATTCCTTTCCGAAAAAATGACAATAGATGGAGGTGACAAATAATTTTTACACGCTGAAAAAAATTGTGTGAAATCTAAGCGGTGCGAAAGGTTGTTCACCGGCATTTCTTAAATAGCCTTCCAGCTAAACATTCTCGTAGCAATGCTCAATTGCAATGAAAATTTCGGTAATTCTGGCGAGAAGGTTGCTTAGTTGCAAAATTACAAATGAGTTTAATCCGGATAAAACATGTTAAATATTGCTGCAAGAGCTTTACGCCAGTAACCGTACGATCGCTTTTTATTGTGACGAAATTTTCGCAACAAAATGTTTCGCTGGTAGAAATAATAAAGGTTTTGCATTATATTAACGAAAATTAATGAAGAAAACAATAACGAACATCATAAACTAATAATGTAGAAAAACGTAAAAGGGAAAGAAAAGGAAAGAGAAAGGGAAGAAAGGAAATAAATCGGTAACGATCGGAAAAGTTGGGCAGAAATTTGCTTTCCCTCGCGAATTTATTTTGCCGAGGAGAATAAATCACTGATAAATGTTATTACAGTGCGAAACAATGCGAAATACTTATATCAGTGAAATATCGCATAAAAGTTGAAAAAAGCTGAATAAATTTTCATTGCCAACACCCATTAAGCTTTTACGTATAAAATGGTGCCAATATTGCGACTATTATCCACTGTTGGGAATGTTTCTCCAATTTCTCGTCTTTTTTTGCTTATTTGGCGAAAATTATGCTGATGATAAGAAAATAGAAGAATGTTCCGTACAAATTGGAGATAAAGCACGTCCGACAATATCGCCAGAAAACTGCCATGATTTCGATTCCACTACTTGCAATGTTTTGTTTCCGAAGGAAGATGATACTCACAGAGACAATCCAGATGTGTATGTAAAATAATTAATTTAAAAATTCCTTATTTGTAATTATCACATGCAATAATTTACTAGTAAATACTTAATAATTTAATCTAATATGCAAATCATATTTTCATTAATTTCGCAATTTTTAATAACCGTTTTAGCACGAAAGATTATAAAGTTAACGAGCACTGCTTGAACGCTTCACTCGCCACGATTACTGTGTCGCATTGTCCAAGTACGTGTGCAAAATGTTGTAAAACGCGGCAGTTCAACTGCGAAAACGGTTATTTT